GGGGGGGGGGGGGAGAAACTGCCACTCACAACCTCTGTGGGGTTTGCAGGACACGGCTCCTTCGGGGGCAGAAAAACAAGGGACAGACAGACTTCCCAGCCATCCAAAGACAGATCTCAGCCAATCTGGCCGAGTGCTGTTTGTCAAGAGCCCCAGTGCAGGAGGCCTGGGCAGGCATGGGGAACTTTGTAAATAGTCCCTACCTGCTGGCCCTGGATGAGGCAAATGAGGGCAGGTGGGGATCAAATAATTGCCCCACCACCTGTGGTGATGGTAATGGCTCCTGGGTTTGGGACAATGGGGAAGAGAAAGGAAAGAAACTTCTGCTGAGGACCTGCTGTGTGTCAACATTGAGCTAGGAAGTCAATATTTAACCAAGACAAGTCAACATTTAAAAGTACTTTCTCTGTTGCTGGAAGTGCGATAAGCATTTCCCATTTGTTATTTTATCTTTATCCCTGTTCTCATTTTGCAGATGATGCTCAGAGAGGTTAAGCCACCTGCCTAAGGTCACACAGCTAGTAAATGACTAGGCTGGGACTTAAAGCCTGGCAGACCGGCTCCAGAGCTTGTGGGCTTAAATACTTCGTGTACTGTTGCTTCAATGAATGAAATGGAATGTTCTGGGTGTTTTCAAGGGCATTGGAAAAGGGTTGGGGAAAACTGCAGGAGGCTCAAAGCACCACTTGCTGAGGATCCTGGTTGTGTGTTGTATGCTGATGCTGGGCGCATGTGGAAGTTGGGGCTGCCTGGTGACTTGGTAAAAAGCTGAACTCTTTCTCTGGAGAATGGAGTGGTGGGAGCTGGGAGGGAAGAAGAGGGGAGCTGGCTGTGGGGATCTTGGTAGGAGATGATTCTCTATGGGGACAGGACCGATGAGAAAATCCTTTAAAGGGAGTGGCCTGTTTTTATTCTTTCTAGTAGAAAGTAAGGGGGAGCACATTCCCCAAGATTTCAATTCCGACTGTGTTTACTTCAGGAGGACCTGTTTGAAAATCCATACTTTGTAGGTTTTCTGTGGTGGTGGTGATGGTGGAGGGGCAAGGAGCCTAGATGACCAAATCCTGAACAGGGTGGAAAGGAAAGGAGGGTCGGAGAGCCGAAGGGCCCGGTGGGGCCTTAGGGTTGGTGAACACCAGCTCTGTGCTAGGCAGGGTGGCTGCTGACCCCCCTCAATCCCCAGGAAATTGACTCCATTCCACAGAAAAGGAAACTGAGGTTCAGGGAGGTCAGAGTGCCTTGGCCAAAGCCATAGAGCAAGAACTGGGACTGTGTGTGGTCTGATGCCAGCGCCCAGTTTCCCAGACCGCTGGGACGCCTGATCCATATCTCCTCTGGCCTGAGTGACAGCTCCTGATTTAGTGAGCAGGTCGAGGGAGGCTGGGCCTTCCTCCTTCCTGGGTCCAGAAGCTGATCCCAGAGACTCATTGCTGCGTGACTCTCTTCTGTGACCTGACCCAGCTATGCTTGGGAATCTGGCCTTCTCTCAATTCCCAGCTCCTCGGGGCCCCTCCGGCACAGCTAGCCCGACTGAGGAATGTAGCTGGTGGCAGAGACCTGCATCAATTAGCCACGGATGGCAACCAGACTTCTATACACTTGGGAGGACGGACCTGGACCTGAGCCTGGATGCCACTGGGAAGCACGAAACAAGATGACTTCTTGGCAGAGGGGCCTTGGCTGGAACAGGCTGTCCAGGGGCTGAGTGTGTGCCGGTCCCTGGAGATGTGCGTCTACCTGGCACTCACTTCCCTGACTTGTGGCACTGGGAATGGCTCAGATATCCACTAGGGAATTAGATTTAAGAACCCAGAGTAACTTTTATCAAAGTATGCTCCATGGAACACTGGTCCTGTCAGATCAGCAACAAAAGGGTTCCATGGTCAAATAAGTTTGGGAAACCCTGGATATCATCTTTCCTTTCTTTAGCATATTAAAGGCCCTGAAAATTCCTGCAGTGGAGCATCTATTTTAATACTAAGGGCATTTCCCAAACTTCATTGGCCATGGAACCTTTTCCTTATTGTCTAATGATTCTACATACTTGGTAATCTGTGGGGACCACTTTTGGCCTTAAATTTACAGACGTCTTATTGTGGGTTTTTTTGCCAGGGAATGGCCCTCTTTTTGGTTTTCTCATGTGCATATCACGGAGGGGGTAGGGATGGACTGTGATCTCTAGGGTCAATTCCAACTCTGCATAATTCTCTCAAGGATAGAGAGCTGCTACAGGAATCTTATACAACCAGGAAGGAAGGAGTTGAAGAGGGCAGGACTTAGATAAACAGGGGAAAAGTCTGTTTGTTGTGAAGACAGTCATGAACTCTGAGTCCTTAGAAGTCTTATGCCTGTGATGGAGACCCCTGGGGATGGGAGGTGGGGGAGACTTTTTAGCCTTGACCCCTTTCTGGTCTCTTCAGCCAGCTCAGGGCCCACAGGACCAGGCAGCCTGGCATCACTGTGAAAACCAGCCAGGGCCTGGGTGCTCCCTAATCCTGGGCAGGGGAAGAACTGGGCAGGACCCTCCAGCCATCCACAGAGTGGACTAGGCCATGAGCATTGGAGCTCTGACCTTGGGCAGACTGGTTACATCTCAGCATCTTAATCTCCTCAATGGGGTAATGTCTGCAACCTGCAGAGACTGGCACACAGCAAACTCTCAATAAACGTTAGCCAGAGTTGCCCCCCGCCACCACATGCCTGGAATCCTGCCAGCCAGGCTCCATCTGGTCCTTGTCTGGTTCCATCACCTGGAGGGCTGAGTACAGGGGGGCAGAGCATGGGAGCCCTGGGCTCCTCGGGAAGGTGGGGAAACGTGAACAGAGGGGAAGAGAGCACTGAGTGTGTTGAACCAGTGGTCTGAGGTTTGTCTCTGGAGCTCTGCAGACAGAGAACCTGGGCAGAGGAACCTGTGACCCTAATCAGACTGTGCTGTGGAGGCCTAGAGGCAGGGAGAGCTTCAGAGGCTGTGTACATGCCTGTGTAGGCATGCATATGTGTGTGCATGTGTGTGCACACATGTCAAACAGAGAAAGGCAGGAGTTGAGAGGTTATTAAGTCACACCATGACAGAGGGGCTGGTGGGGGACCAGAGACCCCTTCAGAGGGTTGGGGTTCAGTAGATGCCAGTTAGGAAATAGCTGTAAATGTGCCAAAGCCAGCCTCCCCCAGACCTTCGGACAGAGAGCTGGTATAAAGAGAGGTTCACCTGCAAAAAGCAAGGGACCTGCGGGAAGTGGAGGCTCTGCTCTGGGATGCAGGAGGCCTGGGACAACTCTGGGTGGTGCTGGGCAAGTCCCACCTCCTCTCTGGGGCTCTGCTTCCTCAAAACTGCCTGTGTGTGTGAGTTCCTAGGATCGGAGTGGAAATGGCTGAGGCCCCCTCCCACCCCAGCTGCAATGGTCAGTGACTCCCGCAGGGCAGGGCACCAGTGAGACCCTCCATGGGGTAGGTGCTGTGGGTGCCCCTGCTTCCCGGGTCCTCTTCATGGGGTGCACACCCATTTCCAGCTGCTGTAACTGTGGGTGCTAAGGTCTCACAGCTGCTCCCTTTCGGGAGTTTGAGCTACTTCTCCCAACCCTGCAGCACGGAGGAGAAAAGCCCACCTCCTTGCCTCAAGGTGGGACCAAGTCTGTGCTTCG